TGCTCTTTCGAGCTTACAATCTAGGAGGATGACATGAATCTCTCTTCTGGTGGCATTTTTTTAAGGATGCTTGGGTGTAAGAGTGTGGTATCTGGAGTTGTTCTAATGCTTTCAGAGACTGTTTCCAGGATTCCCACCTTTGTTGTTTCTCCTTGGGTAAGGGGGTATCCCAGTCTGAACTTTCAGAAGTAAGTTGTCTCAGAACTATCTTACCCTGAATGGATCATAAATGCTGTTCACTGTAGACAAAACTCCTCGCTTTGTAAAGGGCTTGTCATAGGCTGATGCTTGAAATGTGAATGTGTCTTGTTTAACATTCCAAAGCAATCCAAGACTGTGTTGTGTAACGGAAATGGTCAGATCCTAGTTGGAATTTCTTCACACTGACAGCATGGTCATCAGAAGGAAAGCCTATCATGACCTTATTGCTGTTAGAGATGATTTTGTGAAGTCTGAGATTTGCAGTGGCAAGCATGTTCTGGGTTCTAGTAAGAAGGTCAATAGCTTCTTCTTCATTGGGCAGAGATTTGAGTCCATCGTCTAAATAGAAATTCCTTTTGACAAACTGTCTTTCATCAGAGCCAAATTCTTTCTCACCCTCTTGAGCTGCTTTCCTCAGTCCATAAATTGCTACTGCAGGAGAAGGACTGTTACCGAAAACGTACCTTCATTGGATAGTCTATGATTTCATCATTGACGTCATTATTTGCGGTACCATCAGAACCTGAGGAAGTTTCTGTAGTCTTCACGGACGATGAAACAGTGGAACATCTGCTGAATGTCAGCCATAACAACAATTGGCTCTTGTCTGAAGCAAAGTAAAACTCCTATGAGATTGTTGTTCAGAATAGGCCCAGCGAGAAGATTGTCATTGAGGGAGACGCCTTCATCATGAGCACTTTCGTCAAAGACCACCCTAATTTGATCAGGCTTGCGAGGATGGTAAACACCAAAGCATGGTAGGTACCAACATTCTTCTCCTTCCGTAAGAGGAGGTGCAGGCTCAGCATGATCTCTCTCAAACATCTTCTGCATAAAGTCCACAAAGTGCCTTTTCATCTCAGGCTTTTGGTTCAAACTGCGATTTAAAGAAACAAACCGTGATTCTGCATGTACCCTGTTGTTTGGTAGTCTCTTTCGTGGTACAAAATGAGGTACTACCCAACTGTTGGAATCATCTTGGTAGAACTCTTTACTCATGGTTTTCAAGAATTCTTTGTCTTCTACGGTAGCTGCTAACTCATTGTCTTTAGTGGTTACCTCCAACACTGTGTTGCCGATGTTGTCATCCCAGAGATTAAGAGCTTTCTTATTGTCTTGTATGATGTGCTGTTGTGCACCTTTTTCAATCAGTCTTTCTTTCACAATATATGTATGTGGTCGTTGTGTAGAACAAGTTGTTCGTCCATTTGACAGGACATGTGTTTTAAAGGAAGCTACTGAGTAGGACCTCCTGTCCTTGTCTAGGCAGACTTTGCCTATGATGACCCATCCTTGATCTAGACGCTGAGCATATGGTGCATTGTGTGGACCGTCGATTTGATAACGAACTTTGTGCACCCTTAGGATGTCTCAACCAAGTAACAGCAGGATATCAGCACTTTCATCGAGGGCTGGTATTTGGTTGGCTATATGCTTTCAGTGAGAATGGTGAAAAGCAGCTTTAGGAGTAAGGATCTCCTCTTTGATGTTTGGAATCTGGTTGCACTCAGTGATAGTGGGCAAAGAGATTTCCACAGTGTCATTCAGAGGAGCAACTACAAGACCACTGGCTCTCCTACCTAAGACTTCTGTAGTGCCGGAACAAGTACATAGAGTATAAGTCAGAGCATCTCCAGTTATGTTCAACAGTTCAAAAAACTGTGTTCTTGCAAGAGATCTGTTACTCTGATCATCCAGAATACTATACAGTCTTATGACCTTTTCAGATTGACCTTTTGGGTATACACGGACCAAGCATATGTTTGCACAGGATTTGTCGCAGAATCCTTCTCCACAGACCTCTGTACATGTAGAGAACACTGGGGTGGTAGGTGCTGCTTGATCTGGGTGCTCCCCGCCTTGCTTTGCCTCAGGAAGATTGTGAGCGTAGTAGAGTTGTGTGAATATTGATGAAGAGCTTGCACATGGTCATCACTGTCACGCTCTATACATTTGATGATCGCTTTACAGTCCTTTGTAAAGTGTTCTGTGGAGGCACAGCATTTGTAGCAAACCCCAAATTTCTTCAAAAGTTCCTTACGTTCTTGGAGGGTTTTCTTTCTGAAGCCGATACATTTCTTAAGTGGATGTGGTTTGTTATGTATTGGACATTGGCGATTTGGGTCCTCAATTCTCTTGTTTTGATCAGTCTTTTCAAGAACTGTAGCAGGTGCATGTAGAACATTAGTCCTTTTCACTAACGCTGGACCTCTATGGTCTCTGTGCGACATACGTGTGTTCGTAGGTCTTGGAGAGAGTGTACTGAGAAGGTTACAGTCCCCATATGAGAACTTGGGTCATTCTTAGTGTCTGCAATTCTTTTGATGAACTCGCAGAAGTAGGAAAAAGGAGGAAAGGCAACTCTATGTTCTTCCTTATACTTTGATTCAAGCGCTGCCAATCTTTCTTGAATTCCATATGGTAGCTTGAGAACAATAGATTTGATGCCATGAGAGGTGTCAATGTAACTGAGACCAGGTAAGTTGATGTCAACCTTAGCAAGTTGAAACTCTAATAGAACATTGTTGAGTTCTTGAAACTTTAGATTGTTGCTAGCAGAAATCCTTGGGAAGCTTTGCAACCTTTTGAATAAAGCATCTTCAATGGCCTCTGGGCTGCCAAAGGTATGTTCAAGTCTGCCCCAAGAAGCATTAAGGCCTGCAGCAGGGTTGTCAATATGAACTGCTTTGAGTCTCTTGATGCATTCAGTATACTGGGGACCTACTGGGGACCTAGCCATCTGATCAGTAGATCTAATTCCTCTGTGGCATTGATGTCTAGGTCACTTATTGTCAAAAGTGGATTTCAAGCCTCTGTAATTTTCAGGCTTGTCATCAAACTTAGTGAGGCCTGTCTTAACAAGTTCTCTGCGGAGCATGTATTTAGAAAACTGTGACATGTTCATGTTTTCATATTTTGGGTGCATGACTGCAGGTGGAACAGAGTTGGTTGTGACAGTTGGTGGACTTACGTGGAGTGATTTGGGAACATATGTTGCTTCTAAGGCATTCAATGCCAGAGTTGGCTTAGAGTCCATTGGCATGTTGGCTTGTAGAGTAGTGCGTTTGCTAGGAGGTACTCTGTTGGTCAAAGTATGATGGACGGTCTATTAAATATACACTAGTGCCTGCGGCTAGCTGAGATGCTGCAGTCTGATGTATTGGAGGATATAAGGGCAAATGGTCTTGAGGTGCAGTAGGTGCAGAGAAGAGACTTTGATGGAGTAGTTTGGCTGATGTGACAGGGAATTGACAACTGAGTGTCTGGAACTGTTGTCTCTTTTGTTTTCACTAGCGACTTGTTCTAAGACCCTTAACCTTGCCATGGCTGTGGCATGCTCACATTGTTTTCCCAAAACTTCAGTTTCTGCCTTTTGGCGTGTGGCTTCAGCTTCTTCTTTCTCTGCTTTCTGATGTGCGGCCTGAGGCTCCATTTCTGCGGCCTGAGCCTCTCTTTCTGCTTACTGATGTGCGGCCTGAGCCTCCATTTGTGCTTTCTTTTGGGCAAAAGCTGCCTGAATTTTAGAAGCTTCAGTATCAGCACTGGCTTTTATTAGTTGTTGACTGAGTGTAGAAGACCTTGATTGTAGGGATTTGGAAGATCTTGAGGAGTGTCTAGTAGATGCAGAGCGATAAGATCTGGATTCATGGAGCTGTGTTATTCTCACTTCTGCCTTTGTCTTTGTTCGCACCAATAAATTGTCTCTTTCAAGATTAAGTTCCTCAAAACTCATTAATTCTTCCAATGACCTTTGAGTGTTGTACCGCTTTACCAGAGAAATATATTTAACACACAGTCTTTGATAATTCTCATAAGCAACATTCAATTGCTGGATAGCGCCCTCTAGTTGTAATGGCTCATGAGATTGTTGGGAGAGAGCAGACATGCATTTAACAGTATTAGACCATAAGTCATTAACCACCTCCCGTCCGACCATTGTATATAAACGGCCGGAGGGAGGCACTGCAGGGTCGGGTGGCCATTTATAAACGGCCTCCCCGCACCCTGCTTGTGCGCGCTCCCTGGGAGCACGAAACACCGTGATCCAGTGCCCGCTGTGTCCTCTGGACACAGTGAAACACTGATCGTCGGATGGGACCTCTGTACGAGGTCCCGATCATGTGATCACTGATTGGCCAATCAGTGATCACATGCAAAGTAGTAAGCAAGATGTCACTTGTGACATCATTGCTTACTACGTGTGAAATATGTGAATGACCAAATAGGTCCCATGGTACAAGGCTATTCACAACAACCTTGTACCATGTGACAAGCTGTGACCAATCACAGCTCACTCAGTAGTTCTCAATGGCTGCAAGAATGCAGACAGAGAGAAAGAGAAATGATTGCTTTTACATCTTATATGGGTGTAAAAGCAATCAGTGTAAAAAAAAAAAAAAAAAAAAAAAATCTTCATCACCCCTCACAAGTAGTACAGTGTCACCATGGTGACACTGTACTGCTAGGGTGACAGTATGTAAAAAAAAAACAAAAAACAAATAATAATAGAAAAAAATAAAATAAAAATGTAAAAAATTATAATGTTTGGTTATAAACTAATTTGGCTTATTTCTTTTTTACTAAAAAGATAACGGAATACATTTTGGCCAAGATTTATGATGAAATATTATTTATTTGCAAAATTGTATAAGAAAAACACTTTTTTTTCAAAATGTTTGGACTTTTTCATTTACATAGCAAAAAAAATAAAAATCCCAGTGGTGAATAAATACCACCAAAATAAAGTTTTATCTGTCTCAAAAAAATTTAAAAAAATTCATATAGGTACAGCGTTGCATGACGCGCAATTTTCCTTCAAAGTGTGACAGCTCTGAAAGCTGATAATTGGCCTGGGCAGGAAGGGGGGGAAAGTGTCCGGACTGGAAGGGGGTGAAAGTGTCCGGACTGGAAGGGGGTGAAAGTCTCTGGACTGGAAGGGGGTGAAAGTCTCTGGACTGGAAGGGGGTGAAAGTGTCCGGACTGGAAGGGGGTGAAAGTGTCCGGACTGGAAGGGGGGGGAAAGTGTCCGAACTGGAAGGGGGTGAAAGTGTCCGGACTGGAAGGGGTGAAAGTGTCCGGACTGGAAGGGGGTGAAAGGGTCCGGACTGGAAGGGGGTGAAAGTGCCTGGACTTGAAGGGGGTGAAAGTGTCCGGACTGGAAGGGGGGGAAAAGTGTCCGAACTGGAATGGGGTGAAAGTGTCCAGACTGGAAGGGGGTGAAAGTGTCCGGACTGGAGGGGGGGAAGTGTCCGGACTGGAAGTGGTTAATATTAGACAGCAATTCTAACTTGCCAGCATTAAGATTTAAGCATTTTACTCTTTTAGTCCTACTCTGGATGAATCTCTGATTGTGGTTGTGTATTAGTTTCCCCAGACTGTATATTACTTTCCTGAAACATCATGTTAGCAAAGAGAGGGGTTGATAGAAAGTTTACAGAGAAATGTATCACTTTTTCTGTGGCCGAGTTCAGGTTTCCCAGGCAATGGTTGCAAAGATTTTCTTTTTCTTTCTTATAAATTCACAGGCAATCCATGTGGTAATGTATACACATGCAGTGAATACATTTGCAGTTGTAAAACATTCACATCAATAATTTGTCCTGACACTGATGAATGTTATGCTGGGATATACTTGGAGGCGTGTACAGACTTGTGCAGAGGTGGCTGCACTTTATAGCTGTTATATCCAGTATCCATGTAACATCTCACTGTGTATTCTAGCTAGCAAGGATCCTTATGAAGACAGTTCACTGATCCTTTGACTAGCCAGGATCCTATGAAGAATTCCACTGATCTTTTGACTGTTCTGTCTCTCCAATCTAAGCATTGATAGTGTGATCTCTGTAACTTACTGTTGTGATGGGATAGCGATAACTTCAACCTCAGTTGGATACCACAGTCAGTGACTCAATCGATAGGACATCTTTCAGATCTTGTGAAGTTTATTCCATAAACTGAGAGAATCTTACAACAATAAACATTCGATAGGTCAAAAGATCATAATGTTTCCTGCTCCATGACATGAGGCTAGAACTGCAATGCATTTCTGGGAAAGGGGGAGGGCTATCTATACAACATTAATTAAACCAAAGGAAAAAGAGGAGCAGAAACAAGATATAGGAAACACTTAAAGGCATATGACAGTCATGTGAAACATGACATATATTATTCCTATTATTATTATTATTATATTTATTTTCCTCATTGAACTTTTGCTGGTATTCATGCCTTTACCATTTTATCTCCATAATCTTTACCAGTTCATCCATTATGAAGATTTCTTCAGTGAAGATTAATAACCTTCAGTGTGTCCCCAAGCAGTAAAATTAATAGCGGTTGGCCTTTGTCCTCTTTAAAAAAAAAAAGATGGCCGTATCCGAGGGAATATGTGCAAATATTGTTGGGCTTTACAAAAGGTTAGAGCCCAGAGGATGCTGGGAGATCGGCTCACACAGAAACATAACATAACACCATCTGCTTGGATTTGTGAGCTTGAGAGAAATAACATAACTCATTACAAAATGTCATATAATATGATCGCGTTGCGTCATCGATTTCCCTTTCCTGAATTTTTGTGAATTTTATCATTATCTTCTTTTTCTCATTTTTCACTTTGTTTAGTCTTTCTGGACGCACGTTCGGGTTTAATTTCTTTTTATGGGTTACCATGAACATGACTGTGTACACATATTACAATCCAGCTTGGAAAACCCTCGGCCTGATTTTAATTGCTAACACCGAATAGTGCAGCTCGCAGCAGTCTCAGGATAAAAAAAAAGCAAGCGAATGATCGTGTTTAACCCCTTCAAGTCCGGACACTTTCACCCCCTTTTATTCCGGACACTTTCCCCCCCTTCCAGTCCGGACACTTTCCCCCCCTTCCAATCTGGACACTTTCCCCTCCTTCCAGTCCGGACACTTTCACCCCCTTCCAATCTGGACACTTTCACCCCTTTCCAGTCCGGACACTTTCACCCCCTTCCAGTCCAGACACTTCCCCCCTTCCAGTCCAGACAGACACTTTCACACCCCCCTTCCAGTCCGGACACTTTCACACCCCTTTCCAGTCCCGGACGCTTTCCCCCCCCCTTCCAGTCCGTCCGGACACAGTCCAGCTTTCACCCCCTTCCAGTCCGGACACTTTCACCCCCTTCCAGTCCGGACACTTTCACCCCCTTCCAGTCCGGACACTTTCACCCCCTTCCAGTCCGGACACTTTCACCCCCTTCCAGTCCGGACACTTTCACCCCCTTCCAGTCCGGACACACCCCACTTCAGACACATTCACACTCCAAGACTTCAACTGGACACTTTCACCCCCTTCCAGTCCGGCCACTTTCACCCCATTCCAGTCCAGACACTTTCACCCCCTTCCAGTCCGGACACTTTCCGGACACTTTCACCCCCTTCCAGTCCGGACACTTTCACCCCCTTCCAGTCCGGACACTTTCACCCCCTTCCAGTCCGGACACTTTCACCCCCCCCAGTCCGGACACTTTCCCCCCTTCCAGTCCGGACACTTTCACCCCCTTCCAGTCCTGGACACTTTCACCCCCTTCCAGTCCGGACACTTTCACCCCCTTCCAGTCTGGACACTTTCACCCCCTTCCAGTCCGGACACTTTCACCCCCTTCCAGTCCGGACACTTTCAACCCCTTCCAGTCCGGACACTTTCCCCCCCTTCCAGTCTGGACACTTTCACCCCCTTCCAGTCCGGACACTTCCCCCCCCTTCCAGTCCGAACGCTTTCACCCCATTCCAGTCCAGACACTTTCACCCCCTTCCAGTCCGGACATTTTCACCCCCTTCCAGTCCGGACACTTTCACCCCCTTCCAGTCCGGACACTTTCACCCCCTTCCAGTCCGGACACTTTCACCCCCTTCCAGTCCGGACACTTTCACCCCCTTCCAGTCCGGACACTTCCCCCCCCTTCCAGTCCGGACACTTTCACCCCCTTCCAGTCCGGACACTTTCCCCCCCTTCCAGTCCGGACACTTTCAACCCCTTCCAGTCCGGACACTTTCACCCCCTTCCAGTCCGGACACTTTCCCCCCCTTCCAGTCCGGACACTTTCAGCCCCTTCCAGTCAGGACACTTTCCCCCCCTTCCAGTCTGGACACTTCCCCCCCCCCCACCCCCTTCCTGTCCAGGCCAATTTTCAGCTTTCAGCGCTATCACAGTTTGAATGACAATTGCGCGGTCATGCAACACTGTACCCGTATGAATTTTTTAGCATTTTTTGAGACAGATAAAACTTTATTTTGGTGGTACTTATTCACCACTGGGATTTTAATTTTTGTTTTGCTATATAAATGAAAAAGTCCAAAAATTTGGAAAAATAGGTGTTTTTCTTATAAAATTTTGCAAATAATCTTTCTTCATAAATCTTGGCCAAAATGTATTCGGTTATCTTTTTAGTTAAAAAAAAAATAACCCAAATAAGTGTATAACCAACAATTTAATTAAATTTTTTATATTATTATTTATGTTTTTTTTTCATACTGTCACCCTAGCAGTACAGTGTCACCATGCATGGGCCGGATGGGAAATGGTTAAAGGAAACTCCAGAATTCTATGCAGATAAGAAAGGCTCAAATGAATTAGGAAATGTATCCATGAACGCACCACTGGAGGCATTATTGTAACTACCAGCAGTGTGAGTACTTCAATGTGGCAAAGTATCCACCTCTTGCAATCCTCTGTGCAGCAGAGCTCAGAGTGTGATAGAAAGAAGCAGCACAAGGAGCCAATTCGTGTATGTGTTGACAACAAGCACGATGGTAGGAGGATAGAGCAGAGGGATAGAGAGAGGAGCTAATCACTGCGTTGCTTCTTTTTAAAATGTCCAGTCCCAGGATAGGGCGGGTCATTGACAGCTTAGGTTCATAAGAAGTGGGCTTCCTGATGCTGGCGCCGGCGCTTCCTGGCCCTTTAAGAGTTTCAGAAGCCTGGAGGCGGGGCGGGGTTTTAGGGTTATGTGACCGCTGTGATTCGCCGTCACGGCGGTCACATGATCCGAAAGGGTCCCGATTAAAAGGGGAGATCAGGACCTTTCCGGGAGTCGCGGACATATGTGCTGGGAGCGCTGTCAGCACATATGTATTTTCTAATCGCACGCAAATATGCGGCCACTTGGCGTCAAGGCCCAGACACCAAGAGGCCGCATATTTGCGTGCGATCAGCGTCAAGGGGTTAAAGCGATTGTAAACCCTTACATACTGTATACCCAGTGAAGTGACTGGCCTCAATTGATACACAGAGATGAAACAAATCCTCAGCCAGAAGTTGTACCTGTTTATCTGCGGTCTGCTCTTCTCTGTTCAAAGTCCAGAATTTATACAGTTTGTCTCCCACATGGAAGAAAAATATATTTTACATATATTTTAAAAATATTCTTCCCAAATATATTGCCATATGTTTGAAATACTACAAATTTGGCCGTATTCAATATATTTCAAATGATATTTCAATAAATATTTTTTCAAAAAATTTTTGTAAAGATTAAAGATTTTATATATATATACGTTTACAAATATATGTAAAAATATATGTTAAAATGACTTTTTTATATGTTAAAAATATATATATTTCTTAAATATATATGCTTCAGATTTTTTTTTTTTACATATAAAAAAGTAATTTTGACATATATTTTTACATATATTTGTAAATGCATTCCAAAAATGTAGATTTGCATTTTTAAAGACATACAATATATTTGAAATGTATTTTTAAAAATATTTTTCATATATTTTGTAATAAAAACACATTTCAGCATGCAGAGTGTATGTATGTATATATATATATATATATATATATATATATATATATATATATATATATAGAATGAATATGGCCAAAATTGTAGTATTTCAACTATATGGCAATATACTGTATTTGGGAA